ATATCAAATCAAGTCTTGATAATCGTAGTTTAGTGTGTTATACACCAACAGAGCAACAAGACACCCATTGCAGAAAAATATATTACTTTATGTATTTGCTTTCTACCATAATTTGATTTATATATTTCTTTTCTACTATAATTTTAGAAAGTTTTTGATTGGTGATGATTCTATTACCAATTGCCGATGTATTAACTTCTGAGAGGAACATTTTTGCCTAAATCTATTAAAATACTCCCTACAAAGAAAAAAAAGAAAATAAAAAGTCTTGAACCAAACTTTCAAAATAGATTATTTTTCCATTCTAACAATACCCCCACCACCACTACAAAAAGATTACCTCATGAAAAAAGTCTTTCTTGTAAAATCTTGGTAGAGCCCAGAGTTTCATTTAGCACTGGACTTCATACACAAATAATTCTCTGGTGTACCTTTCAAGATCTACACATGCAACAGGACTCAAACTTCCACTGCTTCTAGTCTCTAGGCAGCAGCTCATCCAGATCTGCCACAGTGTAAGCCACTACAGCCCATACTGCTGCACACAGGTCCATGGCATCAGGATCCTGGACAGTCATGGTGTCACCATTGGAATGGTGGAAATAGAAGTACTTGCTGTTTGCATTGTCTAAAACTCCACCTGGTACCCCATCACGGACCCAGAAGGTAATGTCACCACCAACATTTTCAACTCTAAGGTTAGTGACATTTATTGGTTTCAACAGACTCATGACTTCCCTCATTATAGCTACTGCTTTTTCACCTCCAGTAAAGGATATACCCTCTGGCATAAATGTTCCAATATCAGACTCCATCACCAAGCTGAAGTTACTGGCATTTTCTTTGTGACGGTTGTAGTACTGCTCTGCTCCTAGAAGACCCTCCTCCTCACCAGTCCAGAGCACCATGCGCATGGTGCGTTTTGGTTTCAGATTTAACTGACGTATCACTGACAGTGCTTGCCATGAAATGAATGCACCACCCCCATCATCCATAGCACCTTGGCCAACATCCCAGCTGTCTAAATGACCGCTAACAAGAACAACCTGTGTGAGAAGAAAGGGAGACATAAGTTGTGGTTCTTCCCAAATACCACTTGTCCATAATGTCCTGGAAAAAAGATCACCGTATTCTGGCACAAATGTAAGTCAAACATGAAGTCAGTGACCCTTGTGATGACATGACGGAAACAGTCAGGCAAGCTGACCCATATCATCAAGGGCCCATTAAGCACACATGGCACACACCTGTTCTGGGTACACACTGCCTTTTATCTCAGCAACTGTGTTCCTTGAAACTGCTGGCGGCAAAGTTTTGGCCGCCATCTTTAAGTTGATGACTATTTTTGTTCCTCTAGCAGCCATCCTTGCCATCATTTCTGCATCTTCCACTGTAATGCAGGCCGTGGGAATTTTCTCTACTCCTGAAGAAGCAAGCCAGGAAATTAAAGAGATAAAAGAAACACAATAAACCTCTCAATGCATGTAAACAACTATGAAATGAACTTCAAATCATTACAACCTCATCAAACCCCCACCCAAACAAAAAGAGCACCAAAACATCTCAGAGTTAAAAATCCCAATACTTACGTTACCTTGTTCATAATCTTGCCAGCCAGTGTGAGGACTGTAGATTGAGAAAGGAGTCACAGAGCGGATAAGAGAGGCAACACCACCAACTTTGGCTACCTCTGCAGCACCATGAGTTCGATAAATCACAGAAGTTTCATAATCTACCCATCTCTCATTGAATACCACAATTTTTCCCTTTGCCTGAAAGTAAGAAAAAAATTATCAATATTAACTAAGAAAAGAACTTTCCTTGTATAGAGCTTCAGGGCTCAAAATTGTGACTCACTGGTCGCCAATGCGACCAAAAATTGAGCACTGGCGACTAAATTTTCAGAACTGGTTGCCAGCTGGCGACTTGCGTTTTGTCCAATAACTAAAGAAAACCACGACACAACTTTTGTTTTTAAATCTTTATATTAGGAAATCAATTGGATATGGTAGCTAGTATAAAACTTGCCTTTCCGTCCCCACTAAAATAATGTCTGAATATTACAAGATAATCAAAAAAATTGAACGTATTTCGACACGTCGATACTGCATTCTCAGCACGCCATATTGTTTCAGTGGCTTTTTCCAAAACTGGGATCGCAGGCACACTTCAACACCATGTGCTTTTCATTTGCCGCCAAAATGGTGGCAGATACCAAACAGTTGCAGGAATTATGTGAGTTTTTACATGCAGGGAATGAGGGTTCAGCCAATAGGTTAATCCGAACTTTGAATCCTTCATCAGTTGTTGAATAAAATATGCAAATACGCAAGGACCCATGTTTGTCTCAAAATGAAAACAACGGACTTAAAACGTTTTATGCTTCGCTTCATTTAAAATGACTATAGAGACAACCATCACCTTCGGACCAGAGACATATCACCCGAGAACAATGGTAGCTTTATAACTAAGCGTTACCCATGTTGTTTCTAATTGTTTTCGCTCTTCAATTGTGACTTTTCTTGCATGCAAAGTAACATATAAAATCGTGTTCTTGTGTGAGTTATATATAAAACAAGTTGGCGACCAAAATTTATGATCTGGCAACCAAAATATTTCCAGTATTTGCCAGCTGGCTCCCGAACGACAAAGTTAATTTCAAGCCCTAAGCTTGAGTTAAGAGAGAAACTGAAAACTTTTTTTCAGTCTCTCTTACACTTCTTTCTTCAGTGATATCTATCTGGTAACTAATCAGCTGGTTTTAGTCTGACCTGCTGATTGGCGACATGGAGGAAAAGTACCCCCCTCCCACTGCATGTTACTGAAGTCAGTGATCTGAGATCCTGATCAAGTTTGTCAGGAGAAGTCTTGCAAGTGTCACTGCATGCAAATATGATTACTAGCCACATACTAAGTAAACAGTCACAGATATGGATGCTTAACTCTTATTGAAACCTTGTTTGGGGGAATTTCCCTTCTGTCAGTAATGCAGCCTTAGGTGACAACACTCACAACAAGTATTGTGGATTTCCCTTTGAATATTCTGACCAACAACCCACCATTTAGGTTAAAAAGGCTGTGAAATTCTGATGAAAAGGATCGAAAACAATGGATGGAACAAGAAGTACTACCTTTTCAGTTCTGTTTCTCCCACAAAATTTTCCAGTGAACTGAACCAAAAAGTTTTTCATTAACATCCTGATCCAAATTGCTGGAAGTTACTTGTATAGCAAACAACCGAAGTGTCTCATAAGTACCAGAGCTAACATCCCAGCTTGTGTAGCATGCGGTAACTGGGAATACTTTCACCCCCACTGGACTGAAATCTAGTCCATCACAAGATTATACATTAATAATTAGTTTATCTCTCAGCATTAAATTCACCAGTACCTATTAAGACACTTGGATGGAGAGAGGCACTGTGAGAGTTAACTTTCCTCCCAAAACATGAATATGGCTAGCTGGCCAGGGCTTGAACGCAGACCACTCGAATCCAGTGAGTAATCTGGTTTCCATTAGGCCATTGCATTGTGGTATAGAGAAATCTGCCATTTTTGTAACACAGGGCTTGCTTGATAATTGCACAGTATAACATAAAACATACCTTTGAAGCCTGATCATGAAGTTCATCAAATGACCTGACAACCAAGACTTCTGCAGTTATACCATCTGGCGGTGTACCCACACTACCTCCCAGGCCAAGCAAGGCAATAGAGTAATTTCTAGGCAACAACATTCGTGCCGACTCCTCACCCCGCACCCAGTGTGTCACCTGTACCTCTTCACCGTGTACGTTATCAAGCTTGTCCTTATCTAGTTCATCTAACATATAATCTATTGCGCGTTCAAGATTGGCAGAACCTGCGATGCGACTACCATAAGTGTCCACAAATGTTGCCAGTCTGTTGTAGACTTGCTGTTTTCCGGGCCCTTTAGTCAGGAAGTCTATTATCTTGTTTGCATCATCTTGGTGGTTTACAATCTCCTTCTTCAGTTGATAAGATAAATGTGAATCTTTGTCAGCTGAAGTGACTGATGCCAATGTAAATAATGCTGAGCACAAACAAGCAAGACATAATGGAAAGGTCTTAAGGTCCATGCTGATCCTATCCGATGATCCTATGATTTAGAGAATACAAGATAAGAAAGAAATCTGGTTAATTTGGTCACATTTGAAAACTTCCTAAAAGATGCACAAAGCTATATACTAGTTATATACAATGCTTATGAGTGGTACACTAAGGAATATCCCACAAGCTACTTGTATTTTCTCAGTATAGACAAGACCCTTTAGGTAATAGGCCAATTCCGATATATCAAAATTCTAACTTGGCTCCGAGGCTTAGGCGAATAAAACAAAAGAAATTAATTATTCATCCCTCATCCTCAATGCAATTTCTTTTGTTTTATTCCCCTAAGCCTCAGAGCCAAGTTAGAATTTTAATATATCAGAATTGGCCTATTGTGTATAACCAAGAAAAATATAGTGACATGCAGGTAGGATATTCCATGTTATACCACGAGAAGGCCTTGCAGAACTATTTCATTCATGTACTTAATGCCATAGAAAAATAGTGCCCAACACAATCAATGTGATATATGCACAGTGGGAAGGTTGGGTGTAATACTGTTGAGTATACAAAAGCTTTCCTGTATTCTGATTGGCTCTATTTTCTACAGCATGGTTTAAATGTTGATATTTGTATACAGTTTTTCCTCTTTTTCTGATCCTATCCCATGCAAAACCTTATTTGTGCAAATATTCCAATGCTCAAATCTCAACCTTACATGACATTAGTCTGAAAATTGGTGATCTGGATATTGAAACAATGCCCTTTCCAGTTCTGAATTCTCATAGCTGTAGCAAAAAGTTTGGAAATTGTTGGTCACATTTCTTGGTCACATGACCAACTGTTGCAAAAGGCCTATTTAAACGTCGTGTTTTACCACGCCAAACAAGTTCATAATTATATTCATGTTTTTGTCGGGATTGCGTTTCGGCGGGAGTTTTGCGCCGATCAATTTGAAGCTTCAACATCCCCCACCCTCCGGGCAACCCACGGGCATTTGACTGATGGTGAAAATTCGAATTGATCGGTGTATTACGAGGAGAATATGTCTGAGTCAGAGTCGTGTTTCTGCCATGCTACAGTCGAACCTTACTGTAATTGAGTTCGGCTTGCCGGCAGAAGCGCTAGCACGACTTCAGCATGAACTGGCCTCTCATGACGCATGATTATCAATACCGTAGCAATAAGCTTAATACAATCCGTTTTGACACGTCAAATTATCACATCGTTACACACCAACATTATGAAACTGAATTGCTCAGTCAACTCTAACAATAACCTTAAAAACAGCAATTTGCAGAGTAATTCGCTCACCCACTTCCGCGTCCTTCTGCGTACGGTACGGCGGTTCTCGAACCGGGGAGGCGTGCGGGCGCCTTT